GGTTTAAGAAAATCTGAAATAAGGCGTTTTTTAAGTGCCCGCTTAAAGTCATTTACAGTAGGGCATAGCTTAAATACAGGATCTAGAGAGTTCCACAGTTTTACAGTTCTGTAGTGAAAAGATCTTTGGCCTGTAGCCAATCTGCAAAGAGGTATCTGTAGTTTTTGAGAGTTCCTTGTCGTGCGCTTTGAGATGGTAGATCTTGTTATGAACCGGGAGCACAGGGAGTCAGGAGCACATCCAGTCATACATTTAAATGCCATAACTGCATTGCGGTAGTAAAGTTGCTGTCTGACGGGTAACCATCGTAGCTCTTTCAAGATAGGCGTGACATGATCGTACTTCCTTTTATTACCAATGATGCGGCATGCGAAATTCTGCACCGCTTGGACTTTGTTCAGGTTACTCTCGGTGGTATTACTCCACACATTGGAACAATAGTAGAGCTTGCTGAAGACTAAGGCATTTATTATGATCTTTWGGGTGTTTTGATCAAAGGAGTGCTTCACTCTATTAATCTGTCCCAGGCGTGACATGCAAGAAGACACAGTCGATTCCACGTGATCTTTATATTTCAGGTTGGAGTCAAGGATAACACCTAAATCCTTTGCTGATTCGACTGGTGTAAGTACTTTTCCCAATAGTGTTAAACGAAAATCTTCTAATTTTTTCAGTCATTGGTTTAGTCCCAAAGATGATGAGTTTAGTTTTGTCTKGGTTTAGCAGTAGGTAATTGTCAATAGTCCAGTTAGTTATTCTGTGGAGGTCTTGATTAAGTCTTGAAATAGTATATGTCTGGTCCTGTAGACTGAAGGAGAGCAGCAATTTGGTATCGTCCACATAACATTGTGTTGTGCAATGTTCCGTAACACTTGGGAGATCGTTGATGTATATGCTAAAAAGCAAAGGACCCAATATACTTCCCTGTGGCACACCACAAGTCACGGACAAGCGGTTTGATACTGCAGTTTGAATTCTGACAACCTGATAGCGTGAAGTGAGATAACTGCGGAACCACTGAATGGATTGAGGTGGAACGTGGAACGTGCAAATGCACTGCCTATATAAACAGTTATATCATACTTGTGCCCCTTATATAAACAACATACCGTTACACAATGACTGAATAAACTCTGCATAACAATGGAAAATTCATTTTTTATGATATATACCTAATTGAAAAAACGTAGTCATGTTCGAAAAGGTCACATCATAGAAGCTAAGACCGAAAGGGATTTTAAGTACCACTAAATTGGGATTACATTTGCATATACGGTGTACACTAATCAAGTAGAGCTAGTAAGATTAACAGCATGATAGTCTTTTATGCTGGAGAGCTGCCGACAACGTTTCTTCAAATAGGTGTATCTTGAAATTCTAGTAGCACGGAGTCTCAGTCGACGGCTTTTTTACATTTGCTAAAGTATTATGCTAAAATTAACAGCTTATTCATTACTTCCTCGACATGAGCTGTTAGATTGCTTGTTCAATACCAAAAACGATTCAGCAGTTCTAGGCGAATTCAGCACTGTTTAATTATTGTTATTATCGAAATCCAATTGTTTTCTTTCTAGCTTATACTTGTTTATCACAGGAGAAATGCCAATAATGAATGTTTAAACGTACTTCGAACTAGAGTTTTTTTTTTAGTCTCGAATTATTTATCTGAACACAATGACTTAATAAATTATTTTATAACATAGATACTATGAAACGCGCGCTCTGATTGGTTAATTGTCATGAACTATCAGCGGATATATCATAACTTGCGTCAGCATTTTTTTCAGTCGCGATTTCCGTAAAAAAATCACATGAAAAGATTTTAAGGGTTAGGGTTAGGGTTAGCAAAAGCCCATTTTTTTTTAGTCTCGAATTATTTATCTGAACACAATGACTTAATAAATTATTTTATAACATAGATACTATGAAACGCGCGCTCTGATTGGTTAATTGTCATGAACTATCAGCGGATATATCATAACTTGCGTCAGCATTTTTTTCAGTCGCGATTTCCGTAAAAAAATCACATGAAAAGATTTTAAAAATGGCAGAATTACTGGAAGATGATGATGATGATGAGATGCTCGGCATCCAACTACCTGGTTTTGAGATCAATCTACCAATTAATTACGAAGCGGAAATGCTGGTCGAGAAGGAGAATCGCCGATTGCACTTGGGAGGTTGCTTAAAACTGGATATACGCACGCTAACCATGAACCATTCCTTAAACAAAATAGCCTGAGTAGCGACTAAAAAACAACAAAAAACATGCAAAAAAAATTGTGACAAATTCTAAATTCAAAACTATGTGAGCCTGTGTTGCCTTTTCAGTATATGGAACATAATGTCCCACACGTATGAGAGATAACGTTTATCATAAGACTCGATACTAAAACCGATAATTTGTTATGTTAGGACTCCCCCAATGAAAATCCTGTTTTGAAGCAGACAGCAATATCATAATATTGCAGCTGGCTAACCTGTTTCTGTCTGCATTCGTTGGTCTTATGCAGAGGGATCGATATCAGTAATTATATTTTATACAGACTGCTGKGTTTATGTGGGTTTATTATTTAGAGATTTGATTATTGCAATCATCCGATGTATGTGTAAATGCTCAAGATGGTGCAATCGTGTAATCCGCAATAATGGTGAATAATCGAGTTTTTAACTTTTCGAAAGCTGGCAGTTGTTATAGTAGATGTATAGAGCCTTAGATTTTCTTGAAATTCTTGTTTTTTAGTCTGAAAAGACATATAATAAATTGAGTTAATGATTAATCACCTGGTTGAAAAACGGCCAAAAGAAGGCAAGCAACAGCAATCACGACTACGGGCTTCATTTTAGGGATGGGCTGATAGCTTTGATAACTCGTCGTCAACAATTAAGCACAGCTCAGTATCGTGGTCTCAACGACTGATCTACTCTAGGGTGCGACACATACTTATGTAAATTGTTAATCATGCCAGGCTATTGTTCGTGTAATGCGTCGAGCTGCGAGAGCCAGGGGCGTATCCAGGATTTTCATTGGGGGGCGGGGGGGGGGGGGGTCCTAATATACCAAATTGTCACTGTAACGTCACATGAGGTCAATATGATGTAATATCAATCAATGGTTTTCGCGTTTTTTTGGCTTTGAAATGGGGGGTCGGGGAGATCTTGTGAACCTCCCCCCTGGATACGCCCCTGGAGCACATTTCTAAAAACGTCCATGGTGTAACGTAACAATGCTACAATGCAAGAAATTTTAATGATTTAGGCCATTGAAGCAAGCTTACCTTGACCTTAATTTAGTTGTCTTATTTTTCGACTCATAATGCTGCTATTTTGCAGTTAATGTATTTAAGAGCAAAACAGACGATCGCAAAGGTTCTCGGAAGCAAGTGAGTCACGCTGTTAACATGCATCACGCAACTAATACAAACAATCATGTCAACAAATAATCAGTATAAAAAAACTTTACTGTTTTTGACCTGACAGTGAATTTGATAACAATTTTAATCAAAATCAACTAAAGCTAATAAACTAAAATTCTTAATTACMAATGAGTCATCTAGTTACGTCACTCTCTTGTTTTACAAAAAGTAGGCAAGGATTGGAGCCAGGATGGTGACAAACATCAACGGCTTCATGTTGTTTGTTGCGTTACACAAATCTCCCTCGCAGCACGACACGCCACACTTGCCAGAATTCTCGCATAACGATTTCGCTGCATTACAGCCAGCTTCACTTGAGCATGTTTTTGCCACAGCCTTGGAATCACCATTGCCGAAAACTTTGGCACATCTATCGTAGCTTGAGCTACAGCTTATTTCATTTTTCTTGCAATTTCCATCGTTGTCGGAACAAACGTAGCACTTGATAGAAACAGCTTGATTGAAAATAAAAGAAAAATAAAATGCGATCAGTTACGATGGCCTATGATGTATTCTAGTTGAAGATTCACAGAAAGAATGGGGTCGATGGCTTCTAAGCTAAATTGCCCACTCAGATAATGTAATATCCCCAAAACAAAAAATTAGGCATATGTTATACATGCACCTAATTGCAAGACACATAAAAAATGACATTATAAAAAGGAATTGATTACAATGCAGTTTAGAGTTTAGCTAAGGTGAGTGATTTTCAACCTCGTTCCAAAAGTGTTATCCTTTCGTTTATTGACATTCTCGCACCCAGACCCTTCCGATTTTCGCTAGACCGTGAGAGTAGGGATTGAGCACTAGAATTTGATCCCAAACGAAGGACTAAGGCTCTGCAAAACCCTGTGATTTCAAGCTACATGATTGGCTGCTTCAAATGACAAACGGACGAATTGAAAAATTTGTAATAGAAAGTATTTATAACTCATTTTGTGCATATTCTTACCAAAATCTGTTTAAACTTAGTAAAATCATTAGTTTGACATAGAACTTTGGTAAAAAATGACTAGAATCAAGGTAAAAATAGGTCACTCCATTGGACCTCTGACTTTTAAGTGACAAAGAAAGGATATTTCTAGTAGAAGAAAATCAATTTCCCGAATGATGTAGCCTGCTTGCAACCGAACCATTACTGTTGTTATGTTTGTCTGCGAATCATGCAGCCACGAAGATCTTGTCCCGCGTCTGAGAAGTACAGCTGTACTTTGCTCTCATTGTCTGTTCAGTTTTGAATTCTAACGAGTACGTTCATTGGCTACAGTAAATTCGCAACAGGCCACCGCACGTCAACGTACTTTGGACAACTTTGGATTGTCGGCTTTTCTCCCGCTGTGATCGACTGTTTTATGGAGTCAAACATTTCAGTCGTACATTTCAGGGAAGAAATTCAAGAATCTCTATTTCGACCGTTGTCGGAAGCCGTTGAAGCAAGCTTGCCTCAACATCCATTTTATTGATTTCATTTTTTCGAGTCAGACTGGTGCGAGCTACCTGTAGTTAATAATCGCGCTTGCTAGAATTAAAAAGTAAATAGCCAATGACAGCGAAGTATACATATATCCCGGTACACAGAACACGATCTTAGTCGCTAATGGGCAGATGAACATAACAACAGTTTTATTTGGGCTGCACACAGACTAGAACGCTGTATCAACGTCACACAGGAAACCCAGGTTGTGCATYATCTTGAATTGACCAGCGATTTTGCGTTAAAACCATTCTGATAGAGTCTGGAGAGAGAGCGTACAGCATAAACCGTAAGCAAGAAATCTTCAAGTTGTTTCCGGGATTTAGGGTGTCGCAGAACCTACGATAGACCGCGAAATTAGGGACAGGGACGTCAGTCCCGAATGAAGGGACAAGGGGCTGGGACCGAGGTCGAGTAATAAAATATTTCAATTTCGTTTTTGCTTTTAGATGACAAATTGCTTAAAAGAATACCTTATTAATACTTATGAAAGATAGTTTTTGAATGTAAAATTTTTGTGCATACCGAACATACAACGACAAAAGAAACTTTAGGTTTTAGTTGATTTTAGGAATTGAAGAGCATTCCAGAATTTGTCAGGACAGCTTCGTCTTATATTATTGTGCAATATTAGGTCAATATAGGTAAAGTGTAATTTCTCATTAAGTATTTAAACAGATTTTGTCAAATGTCGTTTTTATTTAGAGATCAGCCTTTTTTAAAATAGCTATCCGTCATCATTTCGCAGTAATGAATGTTACCACGACAGCGATGCATCGTGTGATTGCCTTCATTACATTTAACACATTCATATGTCACGTTCGCCGACCAGGGCACTGGGGGCGAAGCACTAAAACGAAGTCTCAAAGGCCAACCTGAATTAAAAGTTGTTCAGATGACATACAATACATCTTTCAATTCTCGTTTCCATGATTCGTCACATGTCCCCTATTATTGGCGGTTGTGAACTACCACCAATTTTGAAAGTTGTGTATACATTTCATGTATTAAATGACTAGAAAAGCCTGAAATTATTAATAAGAACCATTCCTCAGAGACAATTTTAGAATAAAGTAAAAAATTCGGAAGACGTACGAAAAGATCAACTACCACACACGAGAAAATTGTCCTTGGAAAGATAAAGTATTTAACTTTTTAATGAATCTTCTTTAAAGATGTAGCAAACGTCATATTCCACCCCTCCCCACCCACTCGCGTTCTAATTGGCCGAGTACTGACAGTTTGCATGGCAGTATGGATTGTAAACATACAACTAGAATAGGAAAAACAAACAGCTATTTAAGCAAAGAGTTATCCAAAAACGTAGAAACAACTAGTTTAGAGCCCCTAGATGAAGCATAAACAACGTATTTGTTGAAAAGTATAAGTTGCATGCCCCTCGAAAGGTGAACTGGATGCCGATAACTATTAGGAAAAGGTAGGTAAAACTAGCAAAGGAATCTGTTTGAAAAGACCATATCTTCGTCAATTCATTGATTTGAATGATATGAATTAAAGCTTTATGTTTCTTTTCCTTTCAGAATTGGTATGCAAATGACTTCTAGATGAGAGTTTTGAATGACTGCAGAAAAACACTTGCTAAGAGACTTTGTTTTGACACTTTAAATGATATTTGATAAACCGCTTTGACGTACTGCCACTTCAGCTCCGTTCTTTCAACGAGGATAAAATTCACAAAGGCACAAATCCACAAATAGAAAAGCAAAGCATTGATCAGATGAGCTCGGCGTTTCATGGATAATGTGGAACTCATTTTCATAGATTTTTTATTGAATTGGTATCTAGTAATATTTAATATGAAGCCGAAGACAACTTATGCAAGCGGTGCAAAAACTGCAATGATAACAGGCCGTACGAAAAATTCCCAAAGCCATAAATAAACACGTTGTTCGGGACACTGGTGAAAAACGCACTGCGCATGTCCACAGCTTTCCCGCTAAATCTGCCTAATTTCCTTTGTAAAGCGATTTTTGTGAAAGATTTTTACAATTTATAAGCTCGTTCACCGATATATAAGATTCATATTTCCATCAATCATTGTTCATGATAGGTCCTTTTAGTATGTAGTTTCTATTTTTATCTTGTTATTTCTATTTTGAGAAAATGAGGTTTTTCGTAGTGTTTTATGAGTTGTCGCTGTAAATCGGCAGGCGCTCTGTTTACAGATTTCAAGACGCGAGCGCCCACTGGCGGGAAAGCTGTGGGCATGCGCAGTGCGTTTTTCACCAGTGTCGTTGTTCGGATAAATAAAATTCCGTTTGCGTTTCATGGATAGCCGGCCGGTAATCTTATTTATAAATTGAATTTTGAACTGGTAGCTTTTTTATCGTGCATTAGTAGTTWTTTTATAAATAATAAAGATGTATTTAAGCTTATTACATTTGCTGTTAAAACTTGAATTTACTTGCTTGGTTTATCTAAGTTTGTATCGAGGTTTTTATGCACTCAAAACCTACAAAAAACATGGAAAATGTTTCATAACTAGTTGTTTCTAAGTTTTCGGATAACTTTTGGTTGATAGTTTTTTTTCCTATTCTACTTTCGCACTAGAAAAATTGGTGACGTCAAAACCATGTTTACATACTGTCATGCAAACACAGCACTCTGCCAATCAGACCGGGCGTGATATCTAAGTTATTTTATAAAGCTATACGTTGCTTACAAACACTATAATGGTTAACTGGATTTCCAGCCTGCATTTAGTCTGTCTGCAAAACACATTTATCTTCGCAAAGTCGTTCAAAGTAAATCTTCGGCAATTTTGATTGTAGTTTCATGCTGACAGAGGGCTTGAGACATGTTGTGTCAAGCAATCGGCTTGACAGTTTGACTGGTGACATTTCCACACGTTGAAACATGTCCCAACATATCCCAGATATCTGGTTTATTTTTGCTCTTTAAAAGGAGTATGAATATCTTTTTTATTGATTTTCCTGTTGTTATTTTCTTACGGGTTTTAGGAGGTTTTCAAATATAAATTAATTGCTCCATCCGAAATTCAAAAAGGGACTGGTGACTAGTCATAAACTCAAAACCYTTTAAAGCAATAAAAAAAACAGATACCAGGACAAGAAAGAGCATACTAAACTCCTACCCCCACCCCCACCCCGATAAAAAGCCAGCAATTACCCCCACCCCCTCGAAATTTCCGTCAGCATAAGATACGCATTTATTAAAAATCATTAATGGAGCAACGAAGTCTAGCATTTTGCGATCTCGAAGAACTATCGGCCGGAACGTGAGCAAGTATTTTTCTATTTTTACTGTTTACTATTTTCATTTTATATAAAAATTTGYATTTCTATTATGATCTGGAAATCGATCTTTTCTCTTCCTCCTAAACATATATTTTTTCAGCATAGTTAATCTAGTTTGAATGTTGAATTTTGGTGTTTTACCTAAAGCTCAAGCTTCTTTGTGGTCATCAATCAGTTGACGATTATCGAACCGTCACTTGACTGTAAACAACCACGTGCTTTGACTAACAAATGATTTATACAATTATTCAATAAAGAAGGATTCTGTTGCCTTTTTCTATCATCAACCTTTCATTCTTTTTAAATACAAGTACATGTATTGAGTTTTAGTTTCGCAGACTTGTAAAAACGGGTACGTGAATTTTAGCGCAGTAGTCATTCTACTGACAGTTGTCAGTTGTTTTCATTCTTCGATCGAAAAAAAAAACATTTTGTGTAGAAGCTGTCTGTTTGAAGCACAATTTTCATATAAATTCACGTCAAATAACTTACTTAAAGAGCGACCAGCGAGTTAGAATACGGTAAAAACGCATATCGATTTTTTGTAGATCGATTGCAGATTAACCCTCCCACCCCCTCGGGATTTCCTGGGTCATTTGACCTCCCATACCCTAGGAATTTCCCTCTCCCCCCGTGGTGGGGGTATGGATATTTTCTGGAACTACATTTCTGTCATAAGGCAGTATTTGCTGGCATTTCAGTTTTCACGATGTTTTTGAATAATCAGTATTTGCACATAGCTTTCAATCTACACCTGAACTCACTCTAAGTCATGTTTTCCAACATGTTTAATCAAATGAAACATGCCGATTCGTTAGTACACAATATATTTCCAATATGTTTTCCAGATAGCATTGACATTATATTATCTGTCCCACGTACTAAAACTTTTAATYAAATTGGAAATCGTAACGGTAAGATATCTTATTGGTTGCTCACAAAAGATATTTATTTACTGGTGTTTCCTAAAAGACAACCGACTTACGTGCTAATTGAACTTTACCTTAGTTTCCTGGGAAACACCAGCGGCTGTTCTCTGTTCTCTGTTCTCATTATTGTGCAATATTAGTCAATTGATCTATTGATTTTATCTGTGGGATGCAAGCTTCGCGACTTCCCCCTAACTTATGCATAATGCCACAGTTACGTGCGTAACTGCGCAATTCCCTTTTACACTTAGTTTTTCCTCTGACTTCAAATGGCACTAAAAACCAAAACACTACCATTTATAACTTAATTTTTACTACTTAAGTACTTTTGTATCTAAGYATTTAGTGCCAGGAAAAGTAGAGATTTTCCTTTGAAACGATTTCTGTGTTTACCTAGTAAACACCACATAATGAGTTCTAGCTCTTACCTGGCAACCAATGGGATATCTCCAATCATTCATGTGACCATGTAACCACTGACAAATCTAACGCTTAAGTCACGTATTAAWCAAAACCCCCTGTTGAGCACTTTTAGCTCAGATGACATTCAATAGAGCAATAGAGATCCAGTTCAGAAGTCAAAGATAACTACCAACTAAACCTACTAGTAACTTGTAAGAAGATATTAAAGACCCTGTAAACCAGCGAGTGCCTTTACAATTTATATTATTGGACCAGCTCTATCCTTTTCTCTCTATGACCTGCAGGGACAGGACTCAACAAGAAAAATCATGTACCAACAATGTATTTATTGAATCCTATGATAATATCATAAGACAACAAGGTTTCAATGAGTGAGTTTAAAAGCTACRATCTTATGCAAAATGAACGGAACAACTCGCCCCTTTCCCCACTGCATTGCTGGGCACAAGTTCACCGTTCATCCATGACGATTTTCAAGCGATCCCGTCTTTAAAGCGGACAATAACATTGCAAACAGGGAGGGGAGGCTTGTGGAAACACACTCGTCATCACTCGTAGGAGTGTTTGACGYTATTTTGCAATAGATTGTAGCCACATACCGTAGTCCTAGTCAGTATAACACGATTGTTGTGCTTCAATTCAATGTTTAAAACTTTCATAGARACTTGTTCTAGCAACACTGTTTCAATTTTAAATGTGACATTGGTAATTTGCAAAACACTAAAAATAGGATTTTATTTTTATACTGACTTAAATTATATAAAAGCTATCATATGTTTCATAATTTATATTCTGTCATTTATTTTTCATTATCTAGCTATCTGTATGTCCATTCAGGTCACAGTGTATTTGACCCTTATAGGCTAATTGTTATGATCGCAACCCTTCCGCGGAATTTTTTTATCAAAACTGAAAGCACAAGCTTGCTCCTCGGTACCGAAGGTCCAAATYGAATCAGAGTTCCTTRWTGCATGTTCTTGCTTTWGTCGTTTGATACTCTRAACTATTTATACGTAGTTTTGAATATTCCGCTGTGAAATTTTCCAAGTCCTGTTATTTAATTTTGATCTTTCTTCGAAGTTTGGTTTATAGAATGCCTAAAACTATACTAATTTTACTAATTTTGCAAGTGTATAACTGAGTTTAGATTTACATCTGCTTAAGGTAATTTGTAGCCACAACGTATTAACTGTGCAAAAGTACATTTTGSATGACATATATCACTATATCGAATTAATTGACGAAATTAAAAGTYTTCAGTAATACTTAATTATCAATCAATGTTCGTGTCAAATGTAACATCGATATGAAGCTCTTTAAAAGTTTCGTTTTCTTGCACTCTTTTTCTAAATAGGCTCTTTTACAACTGTTGTACTCGSCTTACCTGAATGAATAACCATCGCTAAAAGGCACAAAGCAAGCAGAGTCTTCATGATGATGAATAGAAGTCGAGAAAACCAACAAGGTATCAAACAAAAGCGTTCAAATCTCTTTTGGGGGAGTGGCAATCTTATATATACATGCAGAGCCCGCGCTACCTTCTGTTAGCGGTGTTAAACCAGTTTTTCATACATCTCCGCCTATACACGTATCCCAAGCTAGGTGTTTGTGACGTTTTTAGACAAACTAATGAAATCGTTAATATCACGCAAGGAAACTKAAAGCACGCGATCATAACATGCATTTTCGAAAAGAAAAGTAAAAAGACCTCAAAAGTAGAGATGTTTATTTATAATGCATTCTAGAATTCTTCGTRATATTGGAAATTTGGCTAAATTTTGGCAAATTTCTAAGTTATCAGTTAAATTTCTCGGTTCTCAGTTAAGCTACATCTTAATTATTAATTTTGTGTTTAATATTTAGCAACTACATAGTTTTACTTCGAATTCACATTTGTTATCATCTGTTATATTGATGAGTGACATAAAATTATATTACACCATAGGCTGAACAACTATTTCTTGAGAGAAAAGAAAAGAAAATGATATTCTTAAGCTTTCATAATACCGGGGTAAAAGTAGCGGGAATGCTCGTCAGAAATTTTCAAAATGACCCTAAAGATCCAGGATGTCTTGAAAAAAGGGCGTGGTTGACTGATTTTTAACCCCCAAGAGATTGCACAACAAATATTGTTAAATTAGATCGATATCACATAATCACATAAGCAATGCTTTTAATCAAAAATTTTTACCCCCAAGAGATCCGACGAGCATCCCCAGTATTTCTAACCCCCGGGGTCCCCTCCCTAAGGGACCAGTCATTATTTATTCGGGGGGGGGGGGGGGGGGGAGGGGGGGTGGAGGAGAAAAGGCTTTTAGTCGACAAAAATTTTCAGAACCCCCCTTGATAGGATTAGTTTTTTTTCGGACCCCGCTTTCCCATTAATGGTAAAAATTCAGGACCCCCCTCAACAAAAATGATTCAGATATTGGAAAATTATTTTTTTTATTTTTCAACTATGACTAGTGAGCAGCACTAACTGGGTGATTGATTTGCGACCAGGCCTGTATATGAATTCGACAAGGTTGTAAGCCAGTGAGCCCGTGCATTTTTGTTAAGCGGTCATATTTGAAAGTGTAAATGAAGAAAGGGAAAACCCGCATCTCGCCTTTCACTCAGACAAACAGTACAAGTCGTGTTAAATTTATTTACATAACTAAACAAAATAATTATAGAATTAAACCTTTAAGAATTGAATGCTTATATGAAACCACCTTAAATACACACGCGTGGGAATTTAGTCGAACTTTTTTCACGATGGAATTTTGTTTTGAGTCGTTTCGACATAAACAGTCGCTATCAAGACATTACACGAAAAACCCCAGTCACCGTTCTAGCTCTAGTTGTAAGGTCAGAGCTAGTAAATGTAACTGGCCTGTTACATAACGTCAAATCGTCGAGCACGCTTGCGGCATATTGCCGAAAATGCGACAAAAAATGAACTACGACAGTTGTTTGTACCAAAAATAACAAACGCTTTAACTCTATTGGAATACGTGGACCTAAGCTGCTCTAGCTCTTCCAGTGATGTTGTAGATACCTCAAAGCTTAAAGGAAACAAGAGCTAAGAAAAATGATTTGCAATGGTTCCTCCTAAGATACATTGGAGTTGAACGAGTTGAACTTCTATCAGGGAGGGGAGTCTCGTGGTATTAAAGAAAAAGTTATTTGTTTTTTTCATTTTTAAGATAAAATTCTCTTCCTATAACGCTAAATATCTGATTGACATTTAAACCCAGAAGGAGAGAACTCTTAGAATATTAGTCCAGTCCTGGCCTCTCGTATCCGACGCTCGCGGAATCGCTGTGGAAAGAGAGTCCAGTATAACTTGCATGCTCATGTGCAGGACCAGCCAATCAGAATAAAGTTGAATTTTGAGAGCCCGCAATTTATAATGGTCAGTGGTTTGTTTACTTGACGGGCACGCTATATTCTGTCAAAAATTCGAAAAATAATGGCGGCAGCTTCGGCTTGCAGGTTTTGCACTAAAACTTGCGCTCCAGCCAGGCGTTCGGTTCTCTATAGTGCTTACGGTGATTACACTGAAGTAGCTCGACTTTTTTATGAAGTATATGGGCAAAGCGTAAAAAAAGACCCGTCTCTGTCGCGGTACTGTTGCAGAAATTGCAAATTAAAAGCGGAAAGAATAAAAAAGAACAAGAAACCTACACGTGCAGAGTCCTCTCTCAATAAAACACCCCAAACTCCCGAAAGACCCGTACGAGTTAATTCTCCAGCAAGAAAAGCGCCACGAATATTCTCGCCCATTCGGCCAATACCAAAAAGGACAAGTTCTCCCATAAGAAAAACTTTGACTGCTATTTCACGAAAGGTTGGTACAATTTCTCTGCATTTAGTATTGCAGTATTCGTACCGTACTTAGACCTATATTTGGCATTTTTATTATTTTGTAGGATTTAGAAGGGAATAAATCTGATGCGGTTAACCAAACACGGGATAAAACACCCAAAAGTCGATTAGGCCTACAGTTCGGTCAAAGTAGCGCTCAAAACGTCCCCATTATTGATAATGGCTGTCCCATTTCTTTCCCACAAATATCCTATCAGATTATATGCTACTCCCCTCTTGGAATAACGCCGGTATCTGTACTACCAAAATGGAACAACTTATGTCAAGCAATAATAGAGAATAACGAAGTTAATGTATGTAGAGAAGCCTTGGATATGGAATGTGCTTCCGAATTTTGTGTCAAAAAAACCTA